TCTTCTTCTTCTTCTTCTTCTTCTTCTTCTTCTTCTTCTTCTTCTTCTTCTTCTTCTTCTTCTTCTTCTTCTAATACTGTGTATAACACTTGACCCAACAAAATCAGGTTTGTGCTTATTCTATTACTAGCTTAGGGTATACTTTGATTCTGGGTATGATTAAGGCTGTCGGATTACATATTTGTATAAGGAGATTTAGAAAAGACATATCTTTGGATGCCTGCTAACTAACTGTAAAGACAGGTAAGTATTTAATGTCTTCTTCAAGTCTGTCTTGGCTCGTAGTATCTTCATGGATGTGTCCACTGATAGCCCACCTTTCCTTGAGGAGTTCCTTTAATTCCCTCTCCAATTTTTACCCACCGCTGCCTTGAGAGGTAGGTTGGGCTGAGAGAGCACAACGAGCCCAGCATTGGCCAGTGAGCTTCTCTGGCTGTGGTAGGACTTAAGTCTTCCTACTCCAATGCACATCAAACATGGTGGAGCTTCAGTCACACCATTGCAGACTTTTATGGCCAGACCCTGCAGACACCCTTGATAACCATCCTTCCACTTTCAGAATAAAGCAGATTGAAGACCACGCCTACAAACTTCCCAGGAATAGAACTGTTGACGAAGTCCTTGAAAGGCTGAGGGATGGCATCCTGCATCAGGAAACGGGCGTGAGGGACGCCTTCCTTGCCTATAACAAGCAAGCTAGTGGGAAGCTGAGTAAAACTGAGTTCCGCAAGGTAAATGGAATGTTATTTAATTTCAATTTATTGTTGGTCATTCACACCAGTGCTGGTCTTTTGTCTTTCCTCTTGATAGCTTCTCAGCTTAGAGCGCTGCTTATACTTCAGTTGTTCTTATGAAATGTCTCTAAACAGTTTAGGGGGCTTTATATTTCAGAGTTTCCATTCTCCCACTCATATCATTCTTGCACAGCGTCACTTACATTTTCTGTTGCCATCTTCATTCTGTAGCTTGGACTTGACCACATTTCAGCCATCAAAAGAGGCCATGGAGCCCAGTCCATCGGTTGAGAAGCTTTGGGGGCAGAGAGGCATATTTGGAGGGCATTTGGTGGACTCCTCACAAAATAGCTGCCACAGGGCGCAGGACAGTCACATAACCTCTGTTTAGCAGATGGCAAATTATTGCCCCATGCCTGGTTACGCTTTGGCAAACCGGTCAGACTTTGAAGGTCGCAAAGACACTCTTGCAAATGCATCTCATGATGGAGAATAGCCCTTTTCTTTACAGCCAACTTCTTTTAAAAATAATTAAGAAAAGGCAAGTGGGTAGGGAAGCGGAGGGAACTAAGAGCAATATCTGGGCCATCTTGGTGCCCTCAGGTGCCCTGCTGCTACCACTAATGCGTGACACTCTGTTTCAAGCCATACTTCTGCTGTAGCAAGCCGGCCTTTGCCTAAAAACATCATTTAAGTCCCAGGTAGGGGCAAGAAAAGTCAAGATGGCAGCCACAACTGCACGGTCAAAGCCCCGCCCCCTTCCTTTACAACCTGGATGTAAAGAATGCACCAGTGATATAACTGGACACTTCTCTATGCCAGGGACCTGACTGAAAGATGGATATCTTATCTACTGATTTCAGAAAGGGTCTTGCTCTTGGAGTTGCAACAGTGGCCATGAAATGGGGTTATGTTTGGGAATCCCATCATGCCGTACTGGGACCGTTGCATCACCAGGATGAACGCAGCAAGATACCGTGACGAGATTAATGTTCCTTCCTCGTTTCTCCGCGCCAGTAGCTCTAAAATTAAACGTTCATCTGATAGCAAAAGCTATACTGAAGTACAAAGCTGCTAATCTCTTTTTAAAAGCTTTCAAAATCTACTGAAAAGAGTGATAATTTGTTAATTAGCACATTCTCACTTTTTTTCACATTTTTACGCCAGTCAGCCATTCAATGTTTCTTTTTTCTGCAGAGGTACATAAAATAAAATAAAATAGAATTGCGAGAACAATTGCCATTGAAGCAATTACAAAAGGACTAAAAAAAAATACTGTACAAACACAAAAGAACATGCTCAAATTAGAAAAATGGGGTGGGGGGACTTGGGATTCTTAAGTGGAGGGAACATTATTAAGCAAGATTACAAACTGAATTCAGATCCATTACTGTATTTTAATTGCAGTTTCTACGAATCTTTTATTTTCAAAACCACACCAAACTATGCTACTGCAAATTTACTAATATATGCTGTACAATGGGTAGATTTTCAAGCATCAGTGGCACTTTTTTGAAACATAAAGTTTTGTCCGTTCAGCATGATGGACTTCCGTTGTTTCTGAATTCAGTTCAAGGGAGTAAAGATTACTTATACAGGTAGTCCTCGCTTAATGACCATAATTGGGACAGGAATTTAGGTCGCTAAGCAATGTGGTCATTAAGCGAATCATGTGACCAGAACTGATTTTATGATGTTTTTTGCAGCAGTTGTTAAGCGAATCACTGTGGTTGTTAAGTGAATCAAGCAGTTCCCCACTGATTTTGCTTGCTGGAAATCGGCTGGGAAGGTCACAAATGGCGATCATGTGACACTGGGATGCTGCAACTGTTTAAGTGCAAGCTGGTTGCCAAGTGCCTGGATCATGATCACGTGACTGCAGAGGCACTACGACAGTCGTAACTTTGGGCACCAGTTGTAAATCACATTTTTTAGTGCCATAACTTCAAACGGTTGCTAAATGAATGGTCATTAAGCGAGGACTACCTGTACTATTTCTGTTGACATTAGTGATATTCCAAAGGTTTGTATCCTGCCCAGTATTTAATCTGTTTATTTTTTCTGTCTCTGACAGCTATTGGAGAATATTCAGATGCCAATGAGTGATGATCATTTTAATCTATTAATTGAAAAAATAGGATTCCCAGTTGGAGGTTTGAGTTATCTTGATTTTGTGGCAATATTTGAAGGTAAGCAAATACTTATTGTTTAGTAATATATTGATTCTCAGGTACTGGGCTGTATCTACCACCTGGCTTTTTAAACTAAGTTGAAAATTCACTATTTTGTGACAAAAAACTGACCAGGTATGTAATGTCATCAAAATCCAGAGAAGTGATTGAACAAGGAAGCATTCTGATTATTAGCTGGGATCAGCCTACCATGTGGTGTGGAAAACCCATAGCTCAGGCAAATTGTGATCATTGTGGGAAGTTGATGGACCTCCATCCAAGAAACAGAAGAAGAAAAGAAGAAAAAGAAAGAAAGAAAGAAAGAAAGAAAGAAAGAAAGAAAGAAAGAAAGAAAGAAAGAAAGAAAGAGAGAGAGAGAGAAAGAGAGAGAGAGGAAGGAAGGAAGGAAGGAAGGAAGGAAGGAAG